AATGCGAAGCTGCGTCAACATGTCAGGCGTCGGGGGGCAGGGTGGCGCGGGGGGGTGGGGCGAGGGGCACAGCGCGCACAATGTCGGGTCGCAACGAAGCAGTCAGGACGACTCCGAATGTGAAGGCCCGACAATGGCGGCGCGGAGCCCTGGCTGTAATTAGCTCGTATCACCAGCACGCGGCGACAGCCCGTGACAGCCCCGACCCTCGTCCTCCTCGCCCTCGTCTGCGGCGTCGGGAAGCACAGCAAGCGCGGCTCCAGCTCGACGAGGGGCACGAAGTGTGCTCTGCACCTGTGTACGCCTCGCCTAACGGCCGTGCCCCTTGCCATTACCCGCGCCGTATTTAGAAGTACATTTCCGAGCGGGAGCGCCTCGCTGAGAGGGCGAGAGATCGGCCCCGTCCTCCCTCCCCAATCTCTGGAGGTAAAGCGAGAGAAACAAAGCAACTCTCTCAGCAACGAACAGAGCTAACAGCCTTTCATAATGAAGTAAATATTATGTTCTTCCGCATATTATTATGTAAAGTAATTTCCCACTTTTCTCCAAAGTATTTAGGAAATACACATTGGCATTGATTTTTTTATGTCTTCGGCTGAGAGAGCATTACCAACTAATAGGTATCCACTAAAAAGGTTCAGAAACGACAGCGGAGAACACGCGAGTCTTTCTTCACGTGTTCATTTAGGATGCATAATAATCGGATAAATGTAAATCTCACGCAAGACCGAGCAAAAGTTCGTGTACAAAATGTATAAAAAGAAAGACTGTTTCTTTTTACCATAGGAAGACAAGGAAATAGAGTCGGTCGGAGGAGGCTGTCGGTGCCGGAGGTTTCTGGAAGCGAAGATGGGGGCTTGATGAGGCGGCGCGGAGGATTTAAGAGGCGCGATGGGCAAAGATAATGATAATTCCAATAACCATCTATTGCTTACCGGCGGCCCCTGGATGCGGGGGATTTCCATAGAACCATAATGCTACGTAATAAGCAGGTACAGAAGAACCTACTCGCACGGCTTCCCATCCTGTTTTGATTCAGGTTCATCTGCCTCCACGTCTAAGCAACACTTGCGAAGGGACTCCGCTTTGCTTGTTTGCGTGTGGGAGAACATGTCTGTATGTACGTACACACCGACAAATACAGACATACATACACAGAGACTAATAGACAAATGTGCACATTCACATTTATATACACACAGACAAACACACACACTTGCTCACACTCACATACACACACAAACAAGTACACACACACACAAGCACACACACACACGCACACAGTATGCGTGTGTGTTTATCTGTGTGTCCATAAGTGTGAATGTATGTGTGTGTTTGTTTATGTATGTATGCATGTGTATATGTATATGTATATATATATATATATATATATATATATATATATATATATATATATATATATATATATATATATATATATATATATGTATATGTATATGTGTATGTATATGTATATGTACATAAATATGTATGTGTGTATGTATATATATACATATAGGTATGCAGATGTGTGTATATAAAGATAGATAGATAGATAGATATAGATAGATAAATAGATAGATATACAGATATACAGACACTACGCATATGCACAAATCTATGGATACACAGCCATATATTTATGTCATATACCTATAACAGAAGTAATTGCTGATGTGGCGCAAGACGAGAGGAATCGACAACCGGCGAGGTAATCATCGTGGATTGACGGTAGAGAGAGAACTTGGAGCAGTAGAAGAAAAGTAAACCTTCCTTTAAAGTAACTTTTTTATCTATTTGGAAACGAGGGGTAGTACTTGATTGCCGGAAGTATAGTCTCGGGCACAATATTACGTGTAATGCTTAGGTGGAGAGGAATTAAATATGCACAACCTCTCATTACGATGGTTTGCTCTTCCTGCCAGCTTAAAGTGTTTTTGTTGTGTTTTTACATTCACTTAGCGAAGAGCAGTTAGGTTTTTGTCGGATCTTTCTTTGTATGGGCCGCGAACAATCTATTCTTATCAGTCTACTTGAGATTCCCCGTTGTATATCATAAGTTTTGCAACAGTAAAGAGAGGAATCAAATTGCAGTGGAGCTCCCTTCCATTCTTAGTACAGGTTTTATTCTCATTTCGGAGAATCCCTCGACGATAATCACGTGTTTTTGCTGCAGCGCCAGACATAAGGAAACTCGCCCTCGCGCGCTCGTCGGCCCCGCTCGCTCATTTGGCGCCATTAGTGAGGACAAGATTGCGTTCGAGGCGGACCGCCGCCGGGATGGAGATGCAGCTGACTCGAGCGCAGTTCTTGCTGCGCTCGGCATCGCGGCTGGAGCTTCGCTGCGCCGCGGAGCCCCGTCTCTCCGGCGCCAATCCCGCGAGTCGCGTCCGCGCACGTTGCCAGGACGACGCGAGGCGCCTGCAGCAGTTGCATCCCGGCGAACATCATGAAAGTGTTTTAGAATCAAAGGATTTTCAGGAACTAACCTAATTAATTC